AATATGATTGCTTACAAATTGTCAATGTTAAGCTTTTTGTGTTAATTTTTTATGTAATATGTATGTTACTTTCTAACATATTTATCATGTGTTAGATTTAATAAAAATTTTCCAATATATCAGATCGCGATGAGAAACGGCTGTATTATGGGAAAAGGTCCATTTTTATAAGCGTATTACATACACGCATTTTTATCTTTATTCCTAAAAATTATTTATATCCTACTCACGAGTTCGAATTATCGATTCGACGTTCGGGTCCGAGAACATCTGAACTACATCTTTTTCCTTCGTAAGGTTTATGTTAAAAAAATGACAAAGGGAATTATGGCGGCAAATGCCATATGTGACTATCTGAAATGACCTTTCATGAACTTACGATATCTCAAGAAAAATTAAGGCACGCACACAAATGTACGAGCGAAGAACAGAGAACGTGATATTTATATTTAGTATTTATTAAAAGCGAAATTGGACACTAACTGTCCATAACGAGAACCAAACTCTCCATTAATTCTGTAGCTGCACTTTAAAAAATATCGATATGGATTTAACGCATCATGCGATATCTAAAAAATACTATGTTGATGGTTAATACTAATTAACAACACAATGAAAATTACATAGACATGTACAATGTTAAATCTATATCAATATTTTTTAGAGTTTTTCGTTCATCGCGACGTCGCTTCTTTGCGAGTTAAATACATAAAGAATACAATTCATCTGTAATTCCAACAAAAGAAGAACACATTCTCTCGTATCTGACGTTCGATTCTGCAGATTTAGAGATGATTTATAATAGCTTCAGCGTTGCTACAATTCCTAAATTATCGAGAGTAAGATCTTCGTGAACCGATGTTGAAAAAAAATCACGACATAATTGTATCACGCACTCGTGAATACGTTCACAAATTTAGCAAATCGAGAGACGGCATCTAAAATTCCGAAAATATAAATTTCAATCTTTACATTTCAAATATGGGGTAAAAGAGACGATAAATATCGATTCGAAGGCAATTTAATCGCGAAGATGGAAGAGGAGAGAATCGCGACGTTAAAGGGCCACCGGGACTGTTTCTTTCAGCGATTCGACACAAAGCATTGTTCATTCCATGCAGCTAAAAGCATTTCAAAGCGAGGGCAAAACGCACGCGAAGGGAAGCGCCCAGTGTATGTAGGTTAAAATTCTGTTGATGTACAGCTCACACGTGAAATCACCTTTTCCTTCATCCATGTAACGTTATCTTCCCTCTTTTCTCTTTACACGCGCGGTCCTCTCGTTTCTTTTCTTTCTTTCTTTCTTTTTTTACATCATCGGCTTCTCGTGCCTCTGAAACGACGGGAACCAAATGGTGGGGTTAATGTGAGCACACGCCACGGGGTGTCGACCAATTTCCGGGTTCAACTAATGCACTTATCAGACGGCCAGAAAGGATCTTGAGAGGAAGGTCTGAGGGGAGGAAAAATAATTGAGACGTCCCTCTCTCGTCACGGTCAGAGAAAGCGACGCGATTGGAAGGAAGGAGCAGCGCGGTAAAAAGTAAAACGAATTTTAACCTTCTATAATCACGAGCGTACGCATCCTAATTCGGCGATGAGAAACGCCCAACAGAGATTGCTGACGGATCAACAGAGAGTTGCGAACTCTCGTCCTGATAATTGGAAAGTATCCAGTGGAGATGACACCCCCGGTGGCATTCCCTTCACTCTCGAACAACCTCAGCCGCGAATTAACCTTTCGTTCGTGCCGTAACGCGTTCGTAAATTTCGGCCCTAATTCCTCTTTTTACTTACCCTCTTTTTACGTTAAAAATGTGCAACTCGCGTTTCACGCGAAAGTCAAAATAAAGCGTTCGTGAAACTCAGGACGGGATCGAGCTACCGCTTAATGAATTAGCCAGTCATAACTACGGGACATTTGGCTGACGCACCTGTCATCGCGGCGATCGTCAAAGAGGCTTCGGTCCATTTAATTGAGTCCTTAGTGAAGGACTCAAAGACCGCGGTGCGAAGAAATTGGGAAGGGAATACAGCTGTCGCGTGAGCGCGTTACGACTTCTTTGAGACACTCATAATTAGATTCCGTCGGAGGACCCAAAGAGCAATTATCAAAGGCGTCGTCGATGCCGCGTTATGCGAGCAGCAACCCGAATCTCTAAGTCTCGCTTTGATCGAGTTTCGGTGGAAGGAACCGGATAAGGCAGAAGGTTGAGAGCACAGGGAGGCGTTGTGCGTCTGCGGAGATTCATGACACTTTCGAATGCGAGTATGTGCTAAACGGAAACCGAATGCGAGTGAGATATTTTTACGACGCGGCGATATGTGCTTTCGTCGCTTTGCACTATTCGTTAAATACATGTAGACTACACGATCAGTGAGATACGATTTTTACGAGTGCATTATCCGGTACAATCTGCCATCAATAATTACACGCAGAAAGAAAGATTTTGCTGAAATATCTAAATGTTAAGTCTAAAAAGAATTGTTTAGGATCAAAATAATTATGTAAAACATTTAAAAATAATAAATATCAAAGTGCCTTTAATAAAGACTTCAATTACTGGCGAAGGTTAAATACTTTAGCAAAACTGTTTGTTCCATGTAAAGAATGTATTGTGAATTGATTTATTGTAATTTCATTCTATGTGAAATTACAATAACTTAACATACAAACTAATATGGGAGGAATCAAGGCAAAATATTTAAGATTCCCTAAGACGCTCATAATTATCCCGGACGTCTCAGGATAAAAAAAATCCTCTTAAAAAGAAGCGGACAGGAAATTCTAATCGGGATGCATTAACGAACTAAAATTTCACTAATCAAGTTACGAGAGAGCTACGAGATTTGGCGAGATGCTTTTAGCATCCGTCGTCTTATCCTGTCAACGCAATGACTATCGTCGAATCTATTCCGAGCGAATCTATACTGATCGCGAAAGGTTGCTTGGTACAAGTACCAAAGATGCAACATGATACCGTCAACTCCTTCGGCGGGCCCTCGACGGTGTCGAACACCGAGGTGTGACGCAGGGACACCGAAAAGACGTCACCGACGTCGCAGCGACGGTTGCCGCGTCGAATATCTCGGATTACATAAGCCTAAATAATCCCGTGAGTCATTCTAATTCTGTCCGGTGGGGTTGCACCGCTTTCCACCATTCGTCAACGTTCGTCTCTCCCGCTTCTCTACCTATCTATCCAACTCTTAACTCCAACTCGTCCCTTCTTTGCGCATTTTTCAGCTTTCATCCTACCGTTCCCACCCTGCCGTCTGTCTGGCGTACAAATAGCTGCGACGTGTGTGTCATCTCTCGCACACACGATGGCCCACTTTTCCACGTGGGTCCCGAAATTAGAGAGAGCGCCCGACGGGAGCGCCGTTTGCCTATTCATTTTCGTCGCGGCCAACGCGCTGATTTCCTGACATCTTTCCCAAATGGCACGCTCGGTAGTATCTAATTAAAAGCTCCCTAGAGAGATAGCAATAGAATAGAGAAACTTTCACACCTTTTGTCCCGCGTCGGCAAAATGCGCGTGAAATATTAACAATTGCATCCTCGTGTATCTGACAGTGATGTTAAAAAAAGTCACACTGTGGATCGCGGGTATTTTCGACTATAAGATAGAGGGAGAGAAAAAGAAAGATGTTTATTAACAGTCTAGGACAAGCATTCTAAGAATATAAAAGACAAATAAAAATAAAAATAAAAATGAAAAAAAAATGGTAACGAAATAATAATTCAATATAAAAACGAAAAATACGCAAAATCAAAAATAATAAGGATACAAATTATGTATAAGAATTAAAAGATAACAAAAAAAGTTAACGTAAGTAAGGTCAAAAACTAATTCCAGAAACTAGTCCAGCTCTTGCTGGATATAACGAAAGAGCTCACATTTGAATGTAGAGAGAAAGAGAAAGAGAGAGAGAGAGAAGAGAGGAAACATAAAACATTTCTGATTCATGGTGTTCACCCTTTGAAACAGATGAAATATTGAATGAATCGGTTAATTAAGAAAGATTACCGTTCGTTATGCAACGCGACACGAAGACTGCTACAATGTTGTTCCGTGTATTTTTGACCATGGCCGACATGAGCTTCCCTTTTCCGGCGGGAAACAATCGTTGAGAAGAGATGATTTTTTTGGCCCGGTCAGAGAATATATAAACAGCGAAATGTCCGTGCACGCCATATTGCGTGTCGATGCAAAAATGCAGCGATGACTGGACGCTAAATACATTCCACGATTTAACGATAATGCGACCAGACATATTTCGTTCGATATACAATTGCGTCGGTGTAACTACGGTCGTCGGATTCACTAACTGTCCCAGATATTTCTATTCACGGTCCATTTTCACGAGACAACGACGATCAACCACGTGTCACGGCCTCGTGTGCGAGGTCGCAAGTAATGGGAATCGTTACGCTTTAGCTGCAACTTCAGCGCAGTCAGGGCCGCAAAGCAACCAGTCGCAAATAAAAAAAAATAAAAAAAAAAAGATAAAATGGAGAGGCAGTCAGATTGAAGACTCGTTTCAACGTCGATTAACTTTAACCTTACACAACCATCGAAATCAAACTCTACTTTTTTGAACAAGTTGGAGAAAAAGAGTAAAGTGAAATTATGAGTTAAAACCAAACGAGGTCGATGAAATCGTGCAATAAATTGCGCTATCAAACTCGGAATTACCAAATTACAGTCCAAGTCGTAATCTAAATTACAAGAGAAACAAAACTTATTGTTAGCTATTCAAACTCATTAATTGACGTTCATGTAAATTGTACTCTTGATTTTTTTAAACCAGATCATTCGATAGATCTTTCAGTATAAAATTATTTTAAAACGAATGTAACGGAACAAATTAAATCATACTTTGAAAAGAAATGAGTTCAAATACATCCCTGGCGCGTTTTATCAGATTCACACATCGGTATAAAAGTACCGACCCGGCGCTATTCGAGAGAAATTGCTAAACAGTCGCGTGCAACGATGACGAGAATGGTATTAGTTGTGATGTTAATACTCTTTTCAATCTCCAGTGTAAACTTCGTCGATTCCCTGCAGGAGAGCTTAGGAAAATTTCTGGGGACCTTTGGCGCGAAACAACAGTATAGAATTATTCATTTATTGCTATTCTTAATGCAAAAGAAAAGAAAGAATATTTTATTACATATTTCATTGTATAACGACATAATTTTCCTTTTCAGAGTGCGGATACCCGAATTGCTAAATCAGTTGTGCAATCAGTCGCAGGGTTCCAACCTGACGATACGTGACGCTTGTTACGGTTGCTTCTATCGTGCCAGTATCTTACCGCAAGGTTACTCCATGTTAGTAGCCATGTCCGCGTGTGCCAACACTTATCTCAACAACACCAACTATGGTCATTGTCAGGCCTATTTGCAAGTACGTGAAAACCGACCGTTCATTCATCTTATTTTCTAATATATACGTTTCGTAATTCTCCTACAAATTTTACAATTCGTTACGTCCCGATTTTTCTCTAGAACGCGACCAGTATGCCCGATGCACGAAGTCCTACGATAGTATATTGCTCATTCTTAGAATGCATTCGTCAAGTCAATAAGAACAATTTGGTAAGATTGAACTCTGAACTAATAGCTATTAGTCGTGTTACTCGATACGCTATTCTACGATTGCCTCTCCCTGTGCTTCACAACGCCTCCTTATGGAATGCTATCGTTTTGTTTTTCTGCTCATATTACGCACGTTATACACATATCTATGGATGTCTTTATTTCTTTGATACTAATATGTATATACAACCTAATATTTAGAAAAGAGCTATAAAATATATTTACTACACTGTTAGATATCAAAGGCAACCCAATTCCTTGAGTTAAATAACATTTCGTTATTTTTAACTTCCATATATATGTCACAGTGTAAATCAATCCATTTCTATGGTTGAATTGCTTCAAAATAAACAATATTAATGCATTTAATAAATAATAAACTATTAAATTTGCATTAAATTTAATATACATTTTCATAAGTTAAATTATTTAACTCCATTGTTTTAATCAAATTAGCAATATATTAGATAGGAGCAATGACGACCTATAGATATGATAAAAATAACTCAAATTGGGTAACTTGATTTTATGAATTTAACAATGTAATATATTATTTCTCAATAATTTTAAAGTCTTGCTTATTAACTAATTTTTCATTCATCCATATTTTTAATATTCAATAATATTACAAATTATGGTATAAATATTGTAAATACTATAAATAATAAGAAAACACCTATTGTAAATATTATCTAGGCTATAGACATAAGAGGTGTGCCACTGTTGCGAGGAGCAGCATGGCAAATTGAGCAGCGGAATTTTTTTAAAGTCTTGAAATTTCTACGGAGGGGCGTCTGTATAATAAGAGAAACTATAACTACTACGACTACCAGTCCAGTTAGTCCACCCATTGATCCACGCCAGTAATCTTCATATTTTCGAGACGACACAACTTTCTTCTTCGTTGGAAATGCATCAATGATCTCCGTGAATTCTGTAAATTATCTGTATTATATTATATGTATATTGTATAGTTTCTCTCTCTGCACGATGAATACTTAACCGGATTCAAACCACAAAATCTGACATGAGAGTGCGACGAGCGCAACGAATTCCCCACTGATGAATACTTTCCGTAGATCAGGGAATGCGTTCGCGAAGCTTCAACAGTATTCCCTAACATCAACCGTACCTACATCAATCTTACGAACACGGAGCTTGTGCAATTATTCATCAACACCACCACCTGCGTGCTGGCGAAAACTCGTTGTTCCTACGTGAATCCGGTGACCGGTGAGCTCCAGGATAGTGACATAGTCAACAAGTTGCATCTACCTTCACTGAACGCTTTGCTAGTCAACACCGACTACGACATCAGCATCGTGCAGCTGCCGTTCCGTTCCGGCAGCGTCGATGTGTGCACTAAGTATAGAAACGTCGAGCAAGCGACTTGGCCCAGTGTCGTGTGTTAATTTACAAACAGAAATTATATCGAGCCAAGAGAGGCAGCCGGTATCCACGACGCTAAATGACGCGCGGGATGATTTTACCAAGCAACCGTTCCAGAATGAGATTACCGTGTGCCGTTGTTCCTAATAAAGATTTGTTTCTGTTGGCGCTAACATTTCGATCATTTCTACCTCCTGCTTTCGCGGCTATTAATACTAACGCATGGCGGTTAAACGACACGTGCCAAGGAACAACACATCCGCATTCTTAAGCAATGTCTTTTCCAAGAGTTGTTTGATACTCTGGTTCGTGAAGAAAACAAATTTAGTTGGATGTACTCAGTTCGCATACTGCCTATTAAAACGTTGTACACAAATTGATATAAAGATGTCTACTTAATATGTATAAATACACGAAAAGAACGGTTTTGCTAAAGTATCTAAAAATTTAGCTAAATACAGATCTAAAAACAGATTTTGTTGAATCAAAATTACGTAGGACATTCAAGTTGATCATCACTTCTTATATGTTACTATTTACGTTTTTATATGTGTTACCAGTTAAAAAGATCGTCTACAATGGAGGCAGTAAGCTGTAAGAAATTGACCAATCACAGTCGAATATAAGAAGAATAATCGACTATGATTTGTCAATTTCTTATAGCTTACTACTTCCATTGTAGATAACCTTTAAGGCATCTCACTGAACTTCGATAATGTCGCAGCAGTTAAACGACATGAGAAGACACTAATAGCGATGAAAAATCGAATGAAATCATTCAAGTTTGCAAGATACGTAGCATCGTTTGAAAGAAGCGACTTTTGTCTAGCAGAAATATTCTCTTCGCGACAATAAAAGAACGTTGTATATACGTTGAATACGTTAGATAAGATGTATGCACATAAAAGGCACCGCGCGTGATGCATATTATTTTTTCGCGAGAGAAAAGTTTCTTTTATATCCGCGCACGCGAGCGAGCGAGTTTCCATCTCAGAGATCACGCCGCGAGTATTTCCACGTAACTTTTTCGCAGACGCAATTCGCTACGCCAAATCCCGCAGGCGAAAAAAAGGAACCGATACCGCGTAATCTCCCCGTCACCCTCCCACCTTGCTGCTTCCTTGTCGTTTCTCTCGTCAAATCGCGCCTCATCGTTTTCTCATGACTGTGCCGATACGCAAGATAAGGTAAGGTAAGACGTGCCGATGCTTGACGAGAACTCGGCATGCAAACAACTTCATAACGACTTCGGCCGTCGAGCGTGAAAATTCGCAAATATAAACTCGCCCGGGGATGCAACGCCACGATGTCGGGCCGCCGTCACGTAATTTTTATTTATTTTCGTCAGAACGGCGGATGCGAAAAACGCAAATAAATGCGCGGGAAGATGCGCGGGAAGAAGAGTCGACGGTCGAAAGTAAAATTTCCTTCAACATTTAGGATAAGCGAAGGCTCACGAAACTTTTCTCTCGGCGCGCTCCAAGATTTCGCGAAATAGAATTCGCAGTGCGAATTCGTGGCGAGCAAATATTTAAATGACGCTGGTACGATTTCGAGAGTCGTCCATTACGTAGGCGCACGAGAATGCTCTTTCGTTTAAAATGTGTTCACGTGTGGGCGAACGGCGCGGTAGCTTCACGGAGCAATGCGATGGGCTCCATTTGTGGTATCGATTACACGATGGGTCGTCCCGTATGCATCTGCGTACTTACGCGAACAAGAGAGAGAGAGGGACAGAGAGAGAGAGAGAGAGAGAGAGAGATAAATGAAAAAATAAATAAATGGCATAGATAAACCGGAGGAGAGGAAGGGATCGCTCCATTGCACAGAGGCGACGCTCCACTTAGCATCTCTTCCTCGAAATAATTTGAAATATGCAAATACAATTGGTGCACACATTTGCGTGCGACGCAAGAGTGCGTACACTCCAGCGAGTGTGTATCGCGAAGGAGAAGAGAAGGCTGGGAGAGACGACGAAGACCGCGCGGGTATTCGAGTGGTTCACGGTTCAGTTCTCTCGGAGAGAGAGAGAGAGAGAGAGAGAGAGAGTCAATCTAACTTAACATGCAGATGCAATACGTGGAATCGAGATGGTACAGCGGAGCAAAGAGAATTCTGAGTCATTCCTGGCATCGCTGTCCTTTCCATATCTTCTCGTCTTTATCATAACGTAACACTTTTCTGACCGACAGCTACAGTTATTGAGTTACTTATCAGATATTAGACACCAAAACTAAATGCATTTAGTACTTGAGATAAATTTGGAATTTTAGGTTTTAAACAAAGAGCGCAATATCCAATAGTTATATTAGTATATAGTGATATAGAAAAATGTAAGAAAACGTAAGCAAAAAGCAAGTCAACATTTTTTATTTGCTACCACTTACGTTATTGCCTTACGTTCTTCACTATGATTGGCCGATTCGCTTATTACTTATATACTGCTTATGTTTTTCTGTGTGCCACTTATGATATACAAAAAAAGAATGATTTTGTAAAGTATTTAAAAACTTAACTAGCTAGAGATTTGATAATAATTTTATTTAAACCATCAAAATAATATGTAAAACGTTTGAATGTTGATAACAATATTGCAAAAAATTTTAACACTCTAAATCAGTTTAAGCATCTTACATATATTTTTATAATGAACCAAACAAAATTTTCAGATCTGCATGTCTACCTTTTTAAATTCTTTGCAATAGAAATTAATCTTACTCTTAAATATTAAAAATTAAGCTCTTTCTCATGACTGGCTTAATTTTTACTCTTCAGAGTGAGATTCATTCTGAAAGTTTTAGAAAATAAATTTTTTACCCTTCGTAAAGTCATTGTTTCCATATACACACAAAAAAATCATTCTTTTGATAAGAAAAGTGATTACTCAATTTATTTTGTTCCTTTTAAATAACAATTATCTTTAATAAAGAATTGCCTTCATAATAATCTTAAAATATACTTAGAAATTTCAAAAAACTTATTACTATGAACTCAAAACAAGAATTTATGTTCTTTTGGAATGTTATAAAATTAATTGAAGAAATAACTTTAATAATATAAGCAAATCAAATTTGTTTTAATTTAATAATTTTGATTAAAGTATTAAACCCACTAAGATTCAGAATATATTTTGAATAAATTTGATGTTTGTGATAAACTTATGATACCCCTGTTAAGCTAGCCTCCCCCCCCTCCACTAGCGATAAATTATTTACCATTACTTATGATACATAGATATATTTATTATTAGATACATTTATTTATTTATTATTATACATAGATTTACGGATAAATGAACTTTTAAAATACCTGAAACAATTATTATTTGCATACAACATGTATTTTTCTGTGTAACGTTGTGATTTTTAACAAAAACTGTGCAAAATTTAAAAAGGATAGCATACAAGTAATATCTAAAATTTATGCATGTCAATAGCTAGAATTTTCTTATTTCCACTCAACAAAATATTAAATACAATTAATACTCTTCTTTCAAGAAGAGTACACTCAGGCATATATATATATATATTAATACTGAACAACTCCCAAGCTTTCACTTGACAAAGCTCAATGCATACAAACGACACTCGTATATCAATTAAAAATACAAGAAAAATATATCAAGGAATATTCATCGAGAGATTAATTCAATAGTACTCGTGAGAGCTTAGCGAATTTCGCTTTTCAGACACAAATACGATTCATTGAGAATTAAATGCGGGAACAAGGCATATCTAGTTCACAATTTATACAAGTCCCCTTCTTAAATTCCGCGTAAGTCTTTCGCGAGGGCACGCTATATCTTGCGATACAATACATTAATCATCGTAATAAATGACGAAGCTAAGCCGCGACTCTTTCGAGAATATTATCAGAAACCCAGAGACCTTCCTTTCAGACAGGGGATAGCTCTCGAGCCGACATCCGCTTTCGAATTTGAAGTAGGTCAAGTCGATTACGAACACCCTGTATGCCACGGAGCGTGCGTCGCTATTTTCAGCCGATCATCGCTAGGAATGCATCAGCGCGGGGAATCATCGACAGATTCGTCTTGTGACAATCACTATACGACCTCGTTTTCGATAAACCAACATCGATGACGCCGCCGATGTTTTACGAGAATGAATCATGCGAAACGCAAACGGCGATTGCGCAAGCGGCGTCATCATTGAGTGCGGAGGCGTCGGCAAACGTACGAGCGTAAACAGCGTCTCAATATAGTGAGTATAAATCGATACCGATAAATAGATAAAGAGAAACAGAAAGACAAAAAAGGTGCTTTCCATTTAATGACACAAGTCGATACTAAATGTCTCGTTCTATCTTTTTCGATATTCCATAAAAATACATTTAAAAAAAAAGGAAAATATTCGCAAACAAATGTTGCATACGATATTTTCTTCAATATTTGATTGTACAAAAAATTTACTGTGATAAAATATACGTTTCTGTAAAATATATCTCATCACCCGTACACTGTTATAAGATATCAAAAGAGTAACCCAATCTCTTAAGTTAAATAACAATTTATTTTAACTTTCATGTTGTGTGTTAAAATGTAAATCAATCCTTTCGTGGTTAGTTTCAACGTAAACAATGTTTATATTAACGTTCTCGAAAAGTGAATCAGTGTATTATTATTGACTTCAGTACTATATTTATAACTGATGCAATCATCAGCGAATATTTACCGTTTTTTAATGATACACTGATGTATTCATTTTTGTGCATTCAATCTGCAAAAAAATATAACCTTTAAAAATAAATCAGTGTATTATTACTGAAAAACAGTAAATATTTATTGGTGACTTTTAAGTATAGTACTGAAATTACTGATTCACACTTTTAGATTTAGTATTTTATGTATTTAGTAAATAATAAACTAAATTTGGATTAAATTAAATTTTTTTTTTTTTAAGTTAAATTGTTTAACTTCATTGTTTTGATTAACAATATATCGAGTAAGAGCAGTGATAACATACAGAAAGGATTAAAAATAAAATACTCAAATTGAATACAATTTATTAGTGTAAAGAAATAAAATAGATAATTTATTGGCTAGAAATAAAATTTTATTTTATCGTATTTAAATAAATTTATATTTCACAAATAAATTTTTAAATATCTTTCTCTCAATGCAGAACAATACTTATGTCTACTTGTGTCACTAAAC